TTTTGTTAGATCCATCTGATTGTGCTGTCAACTTCTGTTGCCTGCTTTTTCATTGCATATGGGTTAAGCTTTCTGTTTTCTTCAAATAAGCTTAAATAATACACTGTAACAAGTCTGGAACGGGTCAGCCCTATCTTCAGGTGTATTAATGCTCTGTTTATTTGCTTATTTATAAATAGATTATTCTAGTAAAATCTGTTCTCTCGTCTCCTCTTAGTATGATGCTTTGATATTGCTCTAAAATGGCCCTGATGTAGCTTGGTCATGTGCGAAGTTTTTCTGGAATGACAGATTTTCAGTCCCTTTAAGGATTTCTTTCCCAGACAGCATCAGCTGTGAAATTCCACTAATTTTTGACTGTCTGTTTTATTGTGTTTAATAACACTGCAAGGCATTTTTTCTATAGATTGCTGCAATCAAATTCAGGCTTATTTGCAGAAATAATTTTTTTTTGGGGGAGCCTGGTCGTGGGGCCTGAACTCTGGGCCTGGGCACTGTCCCTCAGCTCTTCAGCTCAAGGCTAGCGCTCTACCACTTGAGTCACAGAGCCACTTCCAGCTTTTATTCTTTTTGCTTATGTGGTGCTGAGGAATCAAACCCAAGGCCTCAGGCATGCAAGGCAAGCACTCTACCACTGAGCCACCTTCCCAGCCCACCAGAAATAATTTTTGAAATCAAAGTATAAGACTGTTTTGACCCCAGGAGGGCTCCTCCTAGCTGCCTTCATCCTTGATTCTTTTTGGTAACCTATCTAGTTGATATATGTTTTAGTTTATAATATTTCTAACACATCTACCAATCTCCTCTAAGTGCACTAAACCATGACCTTAATTATTTTGAAAGTATCTTTGGACTTGTACCCTGCCACATTCTGTTACAAATGAAGTCAGTATCCTTGGGAGAGATTTTATACTGTGTTATAATCTGCCATTGTCTTTCAACAAAGTTTTCGGGTCAAGGCCTTGAAAGCTTGAAGAAGGATCATGGTACCCTTTTCTCTAAGGCTATGACACTTTTGCCTCAAGAACAGGGCATGAGGGAAAGTGCGGTGTGTCAGTAATCTCTGATCTAATCAGCAGTTTCTCCTAGCAGGGAGCCTCTGCTTTGCACATGAGCAAGAATAAAAGCAATATTGGGTGCATTGTTAGATTCCAATATTCTTAGCATGCTGAACCCAGACAATAGTTTTTAAATAGTACAAGGTAAAGTAAGAGCATACTTTAGCCACCTTCTTACACACCTTTTCTTTATTTCCTTTAAATAGTATTACTATATAGCAAACAATTGTAATCTGTTTTGCTCAATTCTAGGCCACTGAGTGATTTTCTCCATCATGCCTCCTGTTATATTCATAGGTAGTTCAGGCCTACACCAGTCTGGGGCTGGAGACAGGGGAATGTTTGAAAGAGAAACAGAATCTTTCCTCAAAACAGAAATCACACTCTCACAACTTCTCCGTTTTTTGTTTTTTTTTAAATCAAGAATTAGTGCAGCCTTTTTACACGAAGAACACTCCTTCCTGTCTGAAATACAATGAGGACCTCCTTTCCTCTCCCTTTTTTCTTATTCCTAGAAATAAGGTTCCAGTGGCTAGCATCATCTCACCCTTCCACATGTGCAATGATGTCTATCAATTACCTTCTTTGCACTGTGTAGGGCACAAAGGCAAGATACGCATCCTGCCCTTAAGGAGATCACAGTTGAAGAAGATGACATGCAAATGATAATTACATATAACACATTATAAAGGGAAAATCAGATGATGTTCACAGCATGAGGAGGGATGTTGGCAGGAAGAGGAGTTAGCGAGGAGCTTGCCTGGAAGGAGGCACATTCCAGGCAGAGCAAAGCCTGTACAAGTGTTTGGATCATGACCCACAAGCCCCCTTGCAAAGTTTGTGGTATTCTTTTCCTTGGATGTAAGAAAAAAGTATGGGAGGGAGATAAATAGAGGAAAGGGGCCAAGATGAACTCATAAAGCTCCCAATCAGAAGATACCATGAAGAAAAGAAAAAGTCCAGAGACTTTTCAAAGCTATCAATGCATTATAGATGTTTCCCCTGCCTTCCTTCAGTTTGGCTGACATCTTTGCAGTGGGTTAAGAAATTCTCAATACCCACTGGGCCAACTAGCATCTGGACTTTCTAGAGATTTCTGGCATGGTTGTTATTCAGCTGCATTTGCTGGGTGTCTGTTAGGAGCCAGTATTATTCACTGTAATAAACTTGCCAAAGACTGGCTCCCTGCCCTCACGGACAGTCCAGGGAAATAATAATAGGAAAAGCAGAGGAAGTTTGGCAGGGAACCATATTTTTTTCTATTTTTGAATAAAAAACATGTGTTTAAAGTGTGGGGATTTTTTTTGGAGGGGGGAGGTAGAGATATCCTGCTCCCAATTCGTGTTCTCCATTCTCAGTCTTCATTCCCTGAAACTAATTACCAAAATGCATCAGGAAAGTCAAAGTTGTTTGAAAGAACATGAGGACTCTATTTCTCAATCTTCATAGTTTAAACAAAATTTGTAGTATTTCTCGTAACAGTTCATTATATCACAAGTTAATACCACTATGAAGAGAATACTCAGTATGGTGCATGGTAGAGAAAGAAGGTAAAAGCTCAGGTAAATCAAAACTACCTTCCACTTCATTCTAAAACAATAATACAAATAAAATGGAAATGAGTAGGAAAGTGACTGTACTGGAACTCCATCAACACTCTGAGAACACTAGTTTGGATATCATTAAAATTTCCTTAAGTAGTAAGTTAAAAAAATCACCATCCTTTAAGTGTTCAATGCAATCAAAAGCTAAAATGGATTCTGGAAATATGAGTTGCAAATATTACCCATCCAAGAGCTACACTGGGTCATAAAATACAGTGGTCAGCAGTTCTCTACCTCCCTAAGTCTGCATTTTTTTTTCATGAAGACATTGTCCTAGTTCTAACCCCAAATTGAGAAAGTGGGAGATGCTCAAAGCTGCCACATGTTAAGACTCTGCTGCAATCACTCATTGTATTACTGGCTCTCCTGCTGTCTTCATGACCGGTAAGACATGGGCATTGGACACCCTTGGCATGAGGCAGCTGGGTAGCTACATGCAGCCAAAGGCCAAAGTGTGCCAATGGTGAGAGGACAATGTGCTCAACGCACATCTAAATTATTTCCTGCCTAAACCAATCAGGGAGTGCTTTAATATCAAGAGTCACGGTCTGCCATGGTAGCTAGCTTTAGGTTCACATCTGGATGGTAGAAGTTGAACCACCTATATACCCATCACCACAAGAAAGCCCTATGAAGCCTGCTAACAAAACAGAAAGAACTTGTACTAATAGCTGAGAAATAAATTCCTCTCCCCTGGCTTTTGGACCACAACATAATGATGGTTCCCAAACTCTCTAAACAATAATGAAATGAAATGTGTAGGTGTTTCCTTTTGATGTATTCCAATCTAAAAGGTTGGAGCTGCTATCTTTTCACCCTTAATTCATCAGTCCTTGTTACTATTCAGTATCATTGCCAGTATCTGAAGTATATATATTAAAAACAAATAATTCACCCCTTCTCCTATTTTGGTTGTATAACTTTACGTTATGGGTCAGATTTAGAGCTAAATAAACATACCTCTGGCAGCAAATTAGCTCAAGAAAAAGAAAAATTTTTAGTTGGATGGTGAGGGTTTTTTTTTAATGTTTGTTTTAATTATCTTTCTGTTCTTGTCTGGAAGCCCAAAAAGATCCCTAAAGGCTTTTCTGTGTGTTTTCTGCCACCTCAAAACACAGGCTCCTTTGATTGGCTTGTTTAAAATTTCACCACCAGAGGGTGCTATATGTTCATGTCTAAAATTCATAGTTCTGTACATGGCTTTAACAATGGAAATCCTGCTACCAAAGAATTATAACATCATAGCTATGGGAAGGTTTTCAGAAAACCTTTAAGTGGCATTAAATCTCAAAAATTAAGATTTCACTTTTGATACCATGAATTTCAAACTCAGGTTGAAAATCTCTGTAGTGTGTACCAACAAAACTGCCCTGATTTCTATATCTGCAGAAGAAGTAGATATGCTAGTCACTTTCTCATCTTTTTAGTTTTTGTTTAATATTTATCACATAACAACAATGAACCCAAAATTCCAATCCTTTTCTTTACCATACCAAGCAAACAAACAAGCAAAAAGAGGATTTGCTTTGTTGTATCAACAATGTTGCTTTCCAACAGTGCAACTTTTACTTTTTGAATTTTCAGCACAGATATCTCCTTCTGCTTTCAAGTACTTTTGCTTTGGCACAATGCCTTACTTCCAGGGAGTGTTTTGATTCATCAGCTTCAATATCTACTAGTCGTGTCCTTTTATAAGTCATGATTTATGTGTGAATTTTCCACTGGCTATTTCCTGGTATGTACAAAGGTATAAAATTAATTTCCCAAACACCCTTAGGGTCTGTCATGGAAAATATTTTTAAATTGAGATCAGAAATTCTGATGTGTCATCTAAATTGCTCAGGCAAACCAGGATTCAGCTACATTTATCTATGAAGGGTGAAGATGTTAGGCTTTGAAAACCAGCTACGGCATCTTTCATGGATGCTCAATCTGACCATTGTAGCAGGAAAATAGCCATGTCAAAGGTAGCTGTGCCCTCATAAGGCTTTATTTCTAGAAACAGGTGGTGGACTGTAGTTTGTTGATCACTGTAAGCACATTTCTTATTGTCAATATTCACAGATGTTTGTAGTTTCATGATTTTGACCTTCTTCACAAAAAGTTGAAATAGTATCATCTTGCTATTTTTAAGTCTGTGGATGCCTTGGAGGAGAAACACTGAAATTTCTCTCCAGAGAGATTCAGATCGAAGCCAAAGGCACCTTTGCCTTTCTATGTGTCATTACATTTATATCCTATCAAATCCCTTATGGCAAGTGAGGAAATCAGCAAGAACATTGTTCCCTGGCAGATTTTGCTGTGGTAACATGGAAAATAAACAAAAGACATAGCTCACCTTCAGACTGGTGTGTAGCAAGAGGAGTCTGGGTTTCCTTGGAATAAGACACTACTTCCCTTGGCAGGAAATCCACCTGGGTAACCTTTGACACGCCCAGCTTATGCAGTCTTCTTCTGTAAGTAACAAAGAGCAAGCACTTAGGGAAGAAAGACATTCATTTCGGACAAGCTGTCAAGGACAAAAGCAAAGCACTAAAACAAAGAAGCCCCAAAACGATCAGCTTCTCAGTACAAACCACAGGACCACAATAAGGAACTTGGATTCTTGGCCTTCTTTGGCCCTAATTGGCTGGGGTGATATCAGGTAAGCCTCTTCTGCTGACCATCAGCTTTCCTGTTCAAAGTCTTGCTCCAGCCCAGAGACGTCTCTTCTGTTCTGAGCATATCTAATTCTGCATAATTAAAGTGTATACATTTGTAACTAAGATTCTAGTTTCTTAGGCAAAAGCAGGGAGGAAGGAAAGTAACTCTTGAGCTTTGAAGAGAAGTGGATTTGTAAGTAGAATAGTATGCTCTTGGAAGCAGAGGGAGAGTAGTACTCCAAGAGGAAGTATAGAAATGATCATTTCCCCCAGGAGTGGGGCGGGGGGGAAGCTATGCAGATCAAGATGTTCGTGTTTTTAGAAGATACATTAATATAGCCCAGAGGAGGAAGAGGACACGAGGCCTAGAGGGATAGGCTTGAGTTGGCATTCCCAGACTAACTATATAAAACAATTTCTGAACATTTATGTACACTTCAAGTGTTTCCAGATGTTTTTATAGCCATCCTGTCATTGGTCTTTATGGCCCTCCTGTGAAGGGTGAGGCCAGATATCACCATCCCTGATGAAGGAGGTGAGATCCAGTCTAAGACACGTGTCATAGTACATTCAATTTATAAATGGTAGAATAACAATATTACTGATCTTGCACATGCACGCTATTCAATGAGTCCTGGTCCCATATTCTCCCATCGAGCCAAACTCCTACCTAAAGTTCTTTATGATGAATTCTAAGTCACATAAAAACTCCGAAGCCTTCTGAAGTTACCCAGGAAGTAGCTAGCATGGAGGAAGCATCATGTGTGGGCAAACCTAGGGGCTCTAACTCCCTCCCTATTCACTAGGGAGTTGGCCTCAGCTGCTTCATCTGTCAGTGGAAATAATAGTACTTCTTAGTTTAATTGCTTTGGATGATGTATAGATACCAAATATATAATATAAATACCACGCATATTTTAGTATACATGTATACATAACTTATGCAGACATGCACATCTTAATTTTGAGAACATTACTTTTAGTATACAGACTTAGTGATAGTATGACATATTCTACATTTTTTTTTTTTTTGGTGCTGGTCCTGGGGCTTGAACTCTGGGCATGAGTGCTGTCCTCAAGATGTTTGCTTAAGGCTAGCACTCTACCATTTGAGCCACAGCTCCACTTCTGGCTTTGGGTAATTAGTTGGAAAAAAGCATCTCACAGACTTTCTTGCCCAGGCTGGCTTCAGATCTCAGCTTCCTGAGTAGCTAGGATTATAGAACTCCTGACAATATTATACATAAAAAAACTTTCCAGATACAGAAACAAGTGAATCTCTGGGAACAAAAGGAGAGAAGGGTGTAACTACCATTTAGCCCACATTCCACATTCTGGATGTCTCTAAAATCAATACAAATACACCATTATTACTAAGAGATGATACAGTTTTCTTACTTCTTTAAGTTATTATTAATAGTGATAACATGAGAGAGAAAGCATATTATGACTAAGAATTCTTTTCTGTGATTAATCAAGACAACGAAAGTGTTAGGAGTACATAAAGCAGACATATGAAAACAAGACAAACGAGAGAACAAAGGAAGGGGCAACATTGTCCAAAAAGAAATGTACTCACAACCCAACTTACGTAACTATAACCTATCGATAGATCACCTTTATAGTAACAATACAAATTAAAATTTTTTAAAAAGCTGCAAAAGAAATGAAAGAAAACAAGACACGCTTGGCTTTAGAGAGAAAGAAGCCTGACTATCTATCTGTGGATCATAGTTCCAGCTCTGATCTGAGCCTGGGCTGCATCAGCTCTATATAGACAACTCTGGACCACAAGAGTAGAGAGCAGGCCAGGCTGGATTCATACACAGATGGGATACGAAACTTTAATGAGGATAATGTAAGACAATGTACTAGGAAGATAAAATAAACCAGATAAAAGTCTCAAAACCTCAAAAGAAGAAACCCATGGCATATATTTCCTCCCACTGTCCACCCACCTAATGCATTTTCCAGAACTCCCCACACTCCTCCACGGAGTCTGATGCTAGGTCTTTCCCATCACAAGCTCCAAAAATCCACTTGAAACAATGCAAATCTGACCCGCCCTGATGCACACAGGGAAACCACCTCTGTGAAATCTCTCATGGGTGTCCATGTGAAGACCAGGGATCTCCAGCTCTAGCTACACCACAGTGACGGCTGCACTGCAGGCAGGGATTCTAACACATCTGGTGGTGGTGGGACATACGGGTTTAGCGCTATCTTGTGAGCAGCCAGGTACAGGCATTGGACAGCAGGAAGCCAATCTGTAGTTTGTATTTTGCCATCTTAGTAAAGAGAAACAACCCAGAGATTCGAGACAGCATAAGGAACTCAAACACAAACTGCATTCGAAACCCTATGTTGTCACTGGCCAGCTGAATGAATGGTATATGAAAACTTTGGACCCGTGACTTAGTCCTCTAAGCCTCATGTTTCTGGTCTATCAAACAGGCACTGACTGAATTATTAGGATGAAACTCATATCTGGAAAGCACCAAGTTTAGTGCCAGGCATAATACATAGCTTTTGGCTCAAGGAGCTCTACTTTTACTATATCTCTTTGGCTGACTATGATAATTCTTAATTTGTAAAGAGTAAAACCAGAGAAGGAAATTTTATGAATATTTATGCATTCAAATTCTTTGACTTGGAGAATAACTCTGCCAATGAAACATAATGTATGGGTACATGTATAGGTTTTGGCTAATAAAATAAAAAGAATTATGAAACTTCCTGCTTTTAAAAACTTAGTTTGGGTAGATGAGTTTATCAAACCAAAACAAAGGGTCCTAACTCAACTCATGATGTCAAATACAAATACAGCTGAGCTATCATCCTGTGAGTCTCTCTACTGACTGACACCTTGATGAATTTGGCATTCTCATGCTACAGGGTGAATCTATCTCAAATAACTTATCATTTTGAAGCAACTCCTTATAACGCTTCCTAAATGTACTGAAAGATTACTATAGATTTGTGTATAATCTCTAGATTAATGCTGTTGCATTCATATTACTTTACTGATATTTTGCTGTTATTTTAAACCTATTTACTTATAATATGCTAAACATACCTTAACTTATTGTCATTAAATTTTCATATCCTATCTCAGTTTTACAAATAAGAAAAGAGGCTCAGAGATGCTGACAAATTTGCTCAAAACTTACGTCATTAGCTTTAAGTTCAAGGGCAAATCCAAGGGCCATATACTTTAAGAGTCTCACGTTCTACCCACTGAGCAGTGGGTACAAATCCATGTATTTTAAAACCGTGTTGTATTGGTCTTGCTCTCCTCCTTTGTGTGTGTGTGTGTGTGTGTGTGTGTGTGTGTGAAAATACCTTACAGAGGGGTTACAATTACATGAGCAAGATAATGAGTACATTTCTTATCAAGCATTGTTGCCTCCTCCTTTGTTTCCCCTTCTCCTTCCTGCTTTTTAAAAAAGTGCCTTATAACCAGCCACTCATGGAGACACTAAAACCTAATACACTAGGGATCCAAGAGCCTGTGATCATTTTCTAAGCCTGGCTAGTGTCCTGCCCTCTGTTAGGAAGCATAAAATGGATCGGTGCTATACTTCTTAGCATCTCTAGTGGGTCTAGACAAGCTGGCCAGAAGGTGGCGCCCTTTTACCACAAAGCCCTTCCTCCTTCTCTTGTTCCAACCAAGCTGGCCTGCACTGTCCCCCTCACTGCAGGGATTCTCCAGCTCCCGCCTCAGGGTCTGCATGTGACAGATGACCATAACACGTGAATTTATACGACCTTGTAATGGAGACCTTCCTCAACTTCTCTAAAATGTTTCTGCAGCTTTATCAGCCGAAAAAAGTGCATAACTAAGTCTAGCAGATGAAGTGTACAGTAATTTTCTTTGAGTCTGACCACTATCACATGTCTTCTTGTTATTCAAGGCCCTGCCAGCTCATCAAAATTTAGTGGGAAAATAATTTTGTCATGTTAAGAATTTATATGTGTGGGGCTGAGGAAGTTTTTGATTAGAAACTTAAGATCAAGGATGCCTTAATTTTCTTTCAGTTTAGAGGTGTTTTTTTTTTTAAAGTATTATTTAGGATAGCACAAAGAAGTTCAATTACTATCGCTAATTACAGAATCTTTTGTTTTTCTACAGAAGCATTTTATAGTCATTCACAGTCAAATTCCATTTCCCCTCTCTAACTCTGGCAACTACTAATCTACTTATTATTTCCACACCAATACAATGATGCATTGTGTCTTTTGGGACTGACTTCTTTCACAGTTTATTGTCTAGGTTCATTGGTATGAGTGAACATATCATTTCTGTTTATTGATGATTCGTATTCCACTGGATGAACACAAGTTACTTTTAATCCATTCATCAGTTAGTAGAAAATTGAGTTCTTCCCATTTCTGGTCATTATAAATAATGTAAGTATTTGTATATGAAGTTCTGTGTGGATATATGCTTTCAATTCCTGTAGGTTTGTGTATAAGAGTACAATTAGCAGATCACATGACAATTCTATATTTGACTTTGAGGAACTGCCAAAAAGGTTTTCATTATCATATTTGCACTGTATAAGCTCTAATAGCTCTACTTCCTCCTCTGCTGTTATTATTATGTCTTTTTAAAAAATGATAGCATCCTAATTAATGTGAAATGGTACCGCACTATAGTTCATTTACACTTTTCTGATGACTAATGATGTCCATTGTTTTTTTATTTTTTCTTCCAGGTACTTACTGGTCATTTGTACAACTTCTTCAGATAACTGCTTATTCAAATTCTTTGCCCATTTTAAAATTTGCTTGTCTTTTTACTGTTCAGTG